ACTCCAACTCTTCTTTCTTTAAGACGACCTATTTCTAATTGTGCTTTCTACTTCTTAAAAAAAAGCAAAGGTTTGTACCTGCACCATGGAGACAACTGATTGCTGCCCCTATGTCCAGGAATCCAGGGCTCTTCCTCTCATGAAAAGAGTCCACAGAGGTGGGCGGGGCTTTGTGGCCGTCCCTGGACATTCCTGATCACTCAAACACGTATGAGGCATGGACCTTCACTTCCAAACGGGCATGGTAACTCAAGTGCAATCATGAGGAATTTCTCCTAAATGTCCCTGTCTTCTGACCTACTCAAATGGTGGCTGTACCCACACCTACTCTGTACCAAAGCTTGAACATTTGGCGAGCCCCGTGTCTCCAGTTAGCCTTTGTGATTATGTTCACTTGGTTAACTTGTAATCTCACATCTCTGTAGATGTCATAACAGTTTACTGCACTGTGTGTGATACGGCAGCTGCTTTCACTTTTTACAACTGGCCCAGTATTCTACATTTCAAGCTTAAGTTCTTCAGAGAAAATACTCATCAGTTTCTGAGAAAAAAACACACAGCAGGGAAAAAACAGAAAGGAAGGCATCCTAAATTCTCAGTGTGCCTCTGAATTCATGAATTGGTTTTGTCCTTTCAGACACCATATTTAAACAGACACGCATTCAGGTTTCTGTGGAATCTGGAACTGGGAAAGGGTTGTGTGGCTGTTTAAATGCAGCTTGCCTTTGTCTCTGCCACCACTAAAGAAGTCCAAGCTCTCTTTCATCTGGGTGGTGTTTCCATTCTCTTTTCCGGGAAGACCTGGTGGGTAAACATTTGTCAGCCATGTCTTCCAGACCTTTCCAGGTATGATTATTATCTAAGGTATCAGGATGCAGAGCCTGTGACACATCAAATAGCTTCCAAGAAAAATCCAGAACAGATCTCACAGAACATAGTATCACATGACTGTTTGTGGGTTTTAATAACTCAAAGGATCAAAGTGAGGAAAAATTTAACCCAGTCAAAACTCCGGTGGATTGCAGCACTCCTCTGTAAACTCCCCTGATGCTCTTGATCCTGCAAGGGAAGGAGTTCCATCCTCCTGGGGCTACCTACTCAGTTCCTTTTTCTATTTTAAATTTTTTTATTTTAGAAGCACTCTCATTTTCATATCAATCCCCCCATTTCCTTGCCCTTTCATCCTTCCTTGCTACCTACCAACGCCCAAACCCACCCCCACCCACTCCCCAAAGATAGTGAGACTATCAAAGTCCATCACATTGTTTGGGGGAGGGCCATATCTGGGCTGCAATAGTATCCCTCCATAGGGAATGGGTTCCCAAAATCCATATGTGCACTAGGGATAAACACTGACTCCACTGTTAGAGGTTCCATAGACTGTCCAGTACTCCCAGCTGGCACCCACATTCAGAGGGCTTGGTTCGGTCCAATGATGGTTCCCCAGCTTTATAACTATGGTCTCTGTGCTCTCTCTAAGTCAGATCAACTGTTTCTGGGGGTTTCTCCAGAAGGTTCTTGGCTCCTTTGCTCATCCCTCCTCCCTCTCAGCAGCTGGATTCCAGGAGTATGGCTCAGTGTTTAGCTGTGGGTGCCTGCTTCTGCTTCAATCAGCTACTCCCCTTCTTTGAGAGACCATTCATGCTTCTCTTGGAATCTTCCTTGTTTCCTAGTTTCTCAGGTGGTTTGGATTGTAGGCTTGCAGTCCTTTGCTCTATGTCTAATATCATATATGAGTGAGTACATAACCTGCTTGTCTCAATTCTTAAGCCAATACTTTAGAGAAAGTTCTCTTATATTTATCCAAAATCTGCCTTCCTTTATACATAGATATAGGACTTTAGTAGCATTTGGCTATTTGAAACTAATTTTATCCATAACCATTGTGTTTGTATGTGTGAGTGTGTGTGTGTGTACAAGTATGTACATGTGTTTGTGTGAGCACATATATGTGTATGAATGTGTGCATGAGCCTATGCCTGTGAGTATGAGTATATACATCAAATACACACACACACACACACACACACGCACACGCACACGCACACGCACACGTCGAAGTAGGGTTGGAAAGTGTGTCCACATTGCTTTGAGTATACTTCTGCCTGAGTTCACAATAGTAGCAACCTCTGAAATAGTTACTTTTCACAAACTGTAACTGGCATTTCGGCAGAAGGGTTTGTTGTGGTTCATGGTTTGAGGGGCTACTACCCTCTTTAATAGTAGGCCTGATAGCAGTCAGCTCCTGATGATATGTGTGAAGTGATCAGAACTTTTCACCTCTTCACATAACCTGAAACAGAAAGAAGGGAATTGGGATGGAGGAAGAGCTAACCTGTAACCTGTAAGCCCTGCCACCAAGCAGTTTTGGCAGTCTATGGGTTATCCAGGACATCAAGTCCTGATGGGGGATGTCCTTCTGTATATGTTTCTCTTATTGGTTGATGAATAAAACACTGAATGTCTAGTAGTCAGGCAGGAAGTACAGGCAGAGCTAGGAGAAGAGGAGAATTCTGGGGATAGGAGGCAGAGAGAAGTTGCCAGGGAGATGTTGCATAGCTGCTGAAAGAGTAACATGCTGGAGTATTCTCTGGTAAGATAAGACCATGTGGAAAGACTTAGACTAATAAAAAGGGATTGATAATTAGGAGACAGCTAGCCAATAAGAAGCCTAAGCCATCGGCCAAAGAGTTTACAGTTAATATAAGTCTCTGTGTGTTTATTTGGGGCTGAAGGGCAGTTGGAAAGAAACTCCATTTACAAAGTCCAGTCTTAAACATGACACTATAAATTACAACCCAGTATTGATGAAATGCACAGAAAACCACAACCTTAACCCTAGTTATTAGGAGAGTATGACTTTTCATTTATTTTTTCAACTAAGTAGTATTCTGGTACCCACATGATTCTCAGTGTGATCATTTGTGATGAGACACACACTAATTAAGCAGCTGACTCTTCAGCACAGGGTTACTCAAATGATGGGGATGTCTTGTGTATATGTTTCTCTTATTGGTTGATGAATAAAACACGGTGGCCTATAGGGCATCAAGATAGGCATGTCTGGAAGCTGTGGAGGATTCTAGGAAGTGTAGTCAGAGAGGTAGAGAGGAGTCTCCGTGTGATCCCAGGAAAAGAGGACACAAGTCAGGCATTCTCCAGTAAGATAAAACCATAAATTAGTAGTTATAGGTTAATAATTAAGACAGAGCTAGTCAATAAGAATCCCTAGTCATTGGCCAACAGATTTATAATTAATATAAGTCTTTGTGTGTTCATTTGGGGCATGGCTGTGGGACCAGACTGGAGAGAAGAAGCATCCATAACACTCATAGATATTTATTCTCCATGCTAAAATGAATGACTGCATGTTTTTAATACATGAAAGACTTAAAACAAATCTGAACTAAACACCACCCTTTATATTTGCTCATTAGTCATGTCTGTTGATGTCTGTTTTTCCTTCTATGATATTCATTAATTATTCACCCCAAGTTTATCTTCCAGTATTTATAAAAATATCTTAAGTCATACTAGGAAGGCATTAAGAAGTGGTTTTCTTTTCCACTAAAGAGGTGAAATGGTGTCCTATTTAGCGTAAAAACTTGCGAATCTAAAACTTAATTTAATTGAGTAAGCAGGTTTAAGTATTTTTATGTCGTGAGCCCTTTCCTATGTCTCACTTACCTTCCTATTTTATCCCTCCTCCTTTATCTCATCCTTCTTGTCCTCCATCTCTCACTTTACTTTATATAATATTAAATTGCATTTAAGTTAGTTAGTAAAGCAGTTAGAGACTGTTGCAGTATATTTCTTTACACTCTGTGATGATGTGTCACTGTGGTTGGTTTAATAAAGAGGTGAATGGTCAATACCTAGGGAAAAAGAGGTTAGGTGGGACGTCTGGGGACAGAGGGGAATTCCAGGAAGAAGAAAGTCAGAGACAGCAGCCTGATGCAGAGGAAGCAGGAGAGGAAAAAACCACGAGTCACATGACAGCACACAGCTTAGTAGAAATGAGTTAATTCAAGTTTTAAGAGTCAGTTGGGAAGAAGTCTAAGGCCAAGCTTTCATGATTAATAATAAGTCTTGGTGTCATTATTTGGGAGCTGGTGGCACAGAGAAGGACTTGTTACATATGGAGTCCTGTAACGTGCATTCTTTCTGCCAGCCTGGTCCCAGAGCTGGGTCAACCCCAAATAACATACAGAGACTATTAGTTACAGTGCTGCCAGCCAATGTCCAGGGCTTCTCATTTGCCAGTTCTATCTTAAGTATTAACCCACAACTACTAATATCTATATTTTTATAAGGCCTTATCTTTCTGAGGACGCCAGCCTCATGTGTCCTCTCTTCCTGGGATCACATGGCGACTCTTCACTCTTAACTACATTTCCCAGACTCCTCCACGACTCCTAGTTCCACCTGTATGGCTTCCTTATTGGCCAACAGTGCTTTTTTCATCAACCAATAAGGCAAACACATACACAGAAGGACTTCCCCCATCAGTGCCCAACATGAGGACTTGAACATCCAAACATAGGAGCTGAGAAAGCCAAGAAAAGTTTTGGACAAGGAGACAGATGTAGATTTATAGTTCTTCAGTCTCTCAGATAGGCTGATACTTGACAGCACACAGAGGTGTAGCTACTGGCTACTGCCTGTGAGCTGGAACCAGCTGCCAGAGCCATGGGCCAGCATCGTGTGCCAGTGCCATGCACTAAGCCGAGCGACCTGGCAGCTGACAAGGCAGCTTAAGAGTTGTCTCTCGAAGTCAGAGAGTGCTGCAGATGCATAGTAAAGCCAGGTCCAGACACAGGAAACCTCTAAAAAGGTACATTATGTTTTTAAAAAATGTGCTTAGATGCTGAAGAAAAAAAAAGAAAATGGATATAGAGTCGTCTAGAAAGACACATTCCATTCTGCTCCTTGCCCATGAGAAAGAGGCCAACTAGAGATAAATTTTAATAAATGGCAATATGTGATCTTGTCATCTACAGTCACATGTGGATAATATTATTGAAGAAGTTAAAAATATATGCAGTGTTCTGGGATGTGTTGAAACCAAACAAGTTTCAGATGCAGTAAAAGAACTAGAACTACTTCAGAAGAGCCAACCACAGGTAAATATATACAGTTGCTGCATGTAATTAAGCCTGCATGTGACAATCAACTAAAGAGAATGAAACGTTTTTATTACTGGAAATCATATGTCTGTGTGTATATGTGTGTGTGTGTCTCCATGAGGACAGGCTGCTCAATTATGCTATCCCAAAGAGATTAATTAAACTAAAAGGAAGTTTTTAACACTTGGGAAATTTGTGACTACCCTCAAAATTTCCAAGGGCAGAGTCTACAAGTATCTCAGAGGATGTATAGGCTGGTCTCATGCATGGGTACAGAGCCATCCATCTGTGTAGCCAGGAGGCAGTAGAGTGCATCCGTGTTTTCTCACTGAAAATGAAGTAGACACTGATGCTGTGATCTCTGGGTGAGTTCTCTGGGAGCTGTACCCTCTACAGTTTACAACTTTGAAGGGTTTGGAAAAATAGAGTATTATGCAAGATTTTAAATCTGAGGAAAGAAGGGAAATCTCCAATGTACATTATAATCAAAAACAGTGTTTATGAAATCCATTCACCATGTGTCAATTAAGCAAGTGATCAAACAGAGATATAACAATCATGGCAATATACTGCAACTAGTAGTAGTAGTAGTAACAATAGCAGCATGATATTCCCTTCCAGAGCATGCTATGATCCCATCTGTACTAACACACCCCAAGTAGCATGTTCACTCTATACAGGTTCACTGGCAATAAGGTTTAATTTATAAAATAGGCTCATAAAGAAACCAATGAAGCTGATTGTGCATAGCAATATAATAACATACTATGACTTATAGCACAACTGTCAGCAAGATTACTCTGGCTCTTTGAATCCATTATGTCAAAGATGGTTACTTGAGCACAAACACTCCAAAACCAAAACAGCTAATTGTGCAATTCAGATGTTACTAAGTGACTGGGGTGTAAGCAGCAAATATTTTGTGGATGCGGGGGACAAAGGGATGATGCTGGTCCTGGGAAGTGAGGAGTTGGACAAGGAGGACTTTCATTTACTACTCAGAATGATGTTCAACTTAAAAGTTGTGGATAATTTATTTCTTGAATGTCCTACTTATTTTTAGCATGTTTATTTATTATTCAAATCAGTTGCACATGGTGTTTAGGAACAGAGGATTAATATATGAATATAGGAATTCTTTATCTGCATGAAGAACAGCAGCAAAGATGATACTACTTTTAAATACTTTAGTCCAGAAAAATCTCAAAAGGTTGATTTTAAATGTACCTAATCTCTTTTACTGGATATGTGAGTAATTATGCTGGCTGCTTATTGTTGCTGAGACTAGAGTGACTATGCAAAGTCAGTAATTGAATGCATGGCTATGTCTTGTTTTAATCACAAGTTGTTTTGATATCAAACAATGGAAACAAATAATTTATTTGCATTCTGTGAGCAGTGATGTTGACAGTCTTAAAATGCCCCAGACACAGATCACCAAATATGCTAAAAATAAACATCAGCTAAAAACCAAGACATCGAAGCATTAAAAAAGCCATGTTTAGGATAGTCAATAATCCCCAAGTCTAAGAATGATTTTTGCTCTGAATTGCCCTTAGTGAAGAAATCCATTCTTTTACTTTCCCATTTATTGAAGGGGCTAGTTGGATTTGCAACTTGAAGAACAGTCCATCTGTGCAGGGAGCTGGGGCATCAGGAGTTGAAAGTATCTGGCCATGTTGCCTTTGAAACCAGGAGGAAGAGAGCAGTGAACACATGCTGCTTTTCATTTCCCAGTCAGGGAATGGTATCTTCTGAAGTGTGAGCTCTCATTTCAGTTAATGCAACCAAGATAGTCCCTGTGCTCAAAGGCTAAAATAACCTAGATAAACCCCAAATGGATTCTCATGGGCTTGTCTCCTAGGTGAGTCTAATCTCTAGATTGTGCCAAGTGGATATTCGCCACTAACCATCCCACCACTAGTACAGAAGCAAATTAAGTAACTGTGGAATCTCTAAGCCTTGATTTGAATAACTATTAAGATTTGTGATCTTCACATGTGATAGTAAGGTGAGAAATATGATGGGCACCCACTTAATTTGGCTGTATTGTTCTCTGTGCCAGGATACTATGGTCTTGGAAATCATACCATCCATAAATTCAGAAAATAAATATTTCTATAAACTTAATAATTAAAAGTTACTTCACTTCCACTAAATGATGTCAAGTCAGAATGCCAAACCAGTGAGAATTATCTCCCAACAAATAATTCACGTCTTTTTGGTCATATCACACATTGGAGATGTTGTGAGCATTTAGACCTGATAACAAAACACAATCTTATAGTATTACAAGTGTGATTAGAGTCCAAGCTCTCCTATTTCCTATCTGAATCAGATTGTGGGAAATTCATTAACCTCACTGGTTTTCAATGGTGGAACCTAAATCAGAACCACTGATAACACCTGGAGGTTACGAGGATGATGCTTGTCATAGCTCCGAGTCTTCCTCCCAAGGTTGGCACAACCTTTAACTCACACAAGCTCCACCCTGCCCCCATTATCTCATGGCCATTAATTAGTAGCCTTACGACAAACATGGACCTTTGTCACAGCAGACCAGATGTGGACATGGTCTTCTCTGTGGAGACCATTAGGCTGGATGTAAAAAATTTTTTTGATGAAGATGCCCTTCCCATGATATTAAAGTTCTCTAAGGAATAAAACGCCTGGTCTCAGAAGAAGCCATTTCTTAAACCCTCTGTAAAACAACCTAAACTTTTCTCCAAGATACCCAACTTCTCAATAAATCTGAAGCCTAAAGAACCCTTTATGTAAGAACTGGCTATTTCCTGGGAGTGCATTGAGCAATTATGTGCTTAGATTTATGCATTGAAGACGTTGTGGGTTTAGGCACTAAATGTGTGATACTTTTTCTTTGCAAGTGAACTCATATATAGCCTCATATTTTCAAGAAGGGAATGATTTGATTGGACAGAAACAAAGAAAGTTGAGAATTGAGAGTTTTACTTTATTTAATAATTGATATTTTAATCAACTATACCCCACCACCAAGATCTTAATTATTTTTACAGACTTTGAAGCTCATTGTTTCCATGTTGTATGTGCTGATCCTGCCCATCAATTTTAAATCCTGTCTTAATTGTGAGCCTGTATACAGAAGAACCCTGGCCCTAAATGCCAAATACATTTTGCATGATTTGTGAAATAAACACTATCAATTAAATAGTCAACAAGAACCAACCTGTCCACCTGCTGTAAATCTAAGATAACAAACACTGAGGGGTTCAAGTCTCTGCCAGCAACTCTCAAATTTGAGATGCTTTGCTTTTTTCTGGCTTCATTTTTAGTTTTCTTTGCAAGACACTGTTTCCTGAAATGTAGGGAAGTAATTAAGTATCTAATAAACGAAAGTTTGGCAAAATGAAAAATTAAATTATAAATGTTCTTCTATTCTATTCCATGCTCCCATGTAGCACAGAAAACAATCTTTAGCCTTCAAGTTATATTTCAGAAACTCATTTAATATATTTTTGTAAAATACTCAAAAAAAAAGCTGAAGCACAGAGTGGAAAATATGTTCTTTCCTGTTGTGCTACAGGTGTATGTCATGGTGATTTTATAATACACATATACATTTCTGAAAGAATTAAATTTTAGTCAAGCTAAGCTAAGAGTTCAAAGAGTCTGGCCCACCTGGGCAGGATGAAGATATTATCTGTAGTTGTGGGAACTAGTGTTTGATGCTATATTCTAGTGAAATACTTACCTAACACAAGGGCTTCTGAGGCTCATAAAAATGACATTTTGAACCAAAATGTTACTTTAAATTTTAATTATATTTTTACCATAATAGAAACATTCCTTATCTGAAAGAATCCTCCAGAAGTTCTTTAACACAAGAAAACAGCTATTCCCTAGTTTATTTGCTTAATACATATGCTTTTTGGTTAAATGGCATCCTTATAAGAAAACTTTTATATATTTAATTAAAGAAAAAATGACTTGGATGATAATGCACTCATGTTGTCCCATGTACCAAAAGAGCTGAGGCAGGAGATGAACAGGAGTCCAGGAGTATGAGTCTACCATGGCCAAAGTATCAAGACTCCATAAAGTTATTTTTCAGTCTTCTAAAAGTTCCTTCAATTAGAATGAATATTACTAGAAATGAGTACTTTGCTTTCTGCTGATGCATTATTTTTAGTGGACTGTGAGTCATAATGTATTGTTTTCATGGTAATGAACTTAAAACCAGCAAGCCTCAAGCCACCTAATTACACACACATAAATACAGTCATTATGTTGTGGATACAAGTGTAAATGACAGATAAAAGAATAAAAACAGTAACATTTCAGATTGTGTTTTTATTTGTGATATGATTAACATATTTTCTTCTATGTTCAACCATGAGCTAATTAATACTCTAAAAAAGGATAGAAATAAAAACAGGTGGAGAATCTATATGATTCTTTTCCCTCTTCATCTGGACCTCTTCAGGATAGTCCCCAAAACTTGTGTCTGGACATCTTCTAATAATGAGGGACATGCGGTGAACAAGGAGAATTTGCAATGCACTCTTAACAGGAGATTTAGTTCCCATCGTGGAGGAGAGTCAGAGCTTAGACAAAGTCTGCAGAGTGCTTTAATAATGAAAATCTCAGCCGGTTTGAGCAATCTCTTTAAAAAAATCAAATAACCTATATCACTCATTGAAATATCCAGAAGTCTTTCTTATTAAGCAATATAGATATTCAGTATTTAACATGCAACACAGATAAATAATACTGAGAAATATTTTTATCATTTTCTCATCTCAAAGAAATTATAGTGTATCGATTTTACATATTACTGGTTTGGTGATTTTTCTAAATTAGTAACACTTTATTTTTTTATTTTTTTAGAATTTTCATCAGAAATCAGAGACTTCAAGAAAAGGTAATGAAAATATGCATTCAAATATTTGAAGAATAAAGGGAACAAAGGATCTGAGTCTTAGAATTCCCTCGATTTTTTTTCAATTACATCTAAGTACTTTAGCATGACATGGTGGAAAGTGGTTTATTCAGACCTTCAGATCCTTCCTGCTGGTGGAAGTGATGAATTCACAAGTGAATAAAGACCCTTCATTCTGGTTTTTAAATAAAATGGGAAAAGTAGAGACACCTAACAACAAAAGGGGTTTTGATTAATTGATTGATTGATTGATTGACTGACTGACTGATTGTGAGGCTGATAGACTGGAATCACTATGTAGCCCTGCTGGAATTCACTATGAAGATAAGACTGACCTTAAATTTCCAGGGAGCTCCATGTTTATGCCTCCTAAGAAGCGTAAAGACTATTAACCACCCATGAATTAGATTGTGTTGTGAGAAAGTTGTGGGCATTGATCTCCAAAGTCATTCCAATTTAAACTCAAGCTTTATTTGAAAGACCAGCTGGTAGACGAGACAGAAGGACTGGATTCTGAAGCAGGACTCCCAGAGGATGAAAATTGAAGGATTCTTTCCGAGTTTTGTGAAGAGTGGAGTGTGTGTTTATATGCTTCAGACCAGGGTCCACTTTCAGATCTAGTTTCCAACATTAGCTTTACCAATTCTGAGCTCTGGGACCCAAGAATAAACTCTTGAATTTAGTCCTAATAGGCACAAAACATGATGGTGTGTGACTGAGAATGCTGTTTTGACAGTGAGATGATCTTTGAAAGAGGAACAGCTGAGCACCCTCCAGGGACAACACAGCTAACAACCGATGACCTTGAATGCAGAAGTGACTGTGACATGTATTTGAAACAGCCCAGCTTCCACAGTTCATCTTTCTATTTGGGAGTTGCATGAAAAACAAACAGTCTGAATTCTAATACCAACAGTTGGAAAGGGTTGGTCAATATTAGAGTCACCCTCTAGGTGTCATCACAGCAGGTGATACAGGGGCAGGGGATATGGAGAAAACACTGGAGCTAGTGCTAAGGGGATATGGATATCAGGAGACTCTAGGACATGGAGGGACCGAAGTGACACAGGGTGTCTCAAATGTTCATGGCACAGATTCTTATGATCATCTGTGAAGAGCACATGCTCAGTTATGCTGATACAAAGCCCTGCCCATTTCTATTGGGAGTGCTGTAATGAGACCTGTTCCTCCATACTCCTCATGGCATTAGAACATGAGATTCCATAATAATGGACAGCAATGTGCCCAAAGATTTGTACTCCATAATAAATCACAACAGATTTCAATTCATAATCTGCTTTACAAATAAATTAGCATTGTAATTCTTCTCTCAGAGAAAAATGCAGGTGTGATAAATATTATTTCTCCATGTTTCTCTACCTAGCCCAAGGTCTTGATTCACGGAATTATTTGATGATGTCATTGTTGTATATGTATGTGTGTTCCGGTGTATGCATGCATATGTGCTTAGAGGTCAGAGGTCACCATCAGGTGTTCTTCATCACACTCCTCCTGGTTTTTTGAGGCAAGATCTCTTACTACAGTTGGAGTTTACCTGGCTGACTGCACAGCAAAGTTCAGGAAGCCACCATCTATTTCTGCCTCCCAGTACAGGGATAACAGATGCAAACCACTGGGCAAAGTCTTTTAAAATATTGATTTTATATGTATGAATGTATGCCTGCATGTACTTAACAATGGTACTATGAAGGTCAAAATAGTGTAGCTGGAGTTAAAGACTGAAGTCAGCTGCCATATGGGTGCTTGGAATTGAACCCCAGTCCTCTGGAAGAACATCTAGTGTTCTTAACCAGGGAGCCATCCCTCCAGCCCCCGTGCCTAGCTTTCCATGTGAGCCCTGAGGTGCTGGTCTCAGGTTTTCATGTCTTCATAGCAGGTGTTTGCTAATTGAGTCATCTCTGTAGCCTCTGATGATGCACGTGAAATGGATTCTTCATCCAGAGTTCTGGAAACACAGAGCACATTTGGGACACATTACTAAGCAACCTTACAGACACAAATAGTAACCCAGAACTCTCCTTCTGCACTAACAGTAAAGAGTAAAATGTGATAAGTATCAAAATTCAAGTTCTCAAAAATATGAACTTGAGGACAGATCAATAATGGTATATATATATATATATATATATATACATATATATATATATATATATTCGCTGATACACTTTCACAAGATTGGGTGTAACTGGCAAGAAGTTTATGCTTCTTGTTCTAAAGAACTGATAGCAATTTAAAAAGAGGAAACAAGATGTTTCTAGGAACTTCCAAATGTCTGCCACCCATGATTCAGGAAGCAAATCCCTGTTGGGTGGCCTCCAGGGTGTGACAAGCCTTCTTTTAGGACTATTATAATGATGCTTTTTGCGTCTGCCTCATTAATTCCCACTGCTGATTTCTCAGAGAAATTTAATTAGAGGCTTTTCTCTTTGCTCATCTTTCCCCAGGCTGTTACAAAAAAGGGGGGTACGCCATTTAAGAAACGAGGAAAATAAGCACAGTTTGTCTATCATAAGTTTCTTGTGCATTTATGAATACCTAAGTGAATAATAGCCTGTGTTGAGCAACAACAAAGAGTGTTTAACTGTGGGCAGAACTGCTGGAGGACGGGGTGTGGGAAGAAGCACCCTGCTGAAGCTGGTTTCTATCCTGAGGAGCCTACATACTCTTAACACCCGGATGGTGCACAATACTCCGGAAAAAAAAAGCTAGCTCTTTGCACCATTTTCTTTTCAAAACAACTAGAAGCCAAGATGCAACTTGTGTTTCAGAACAGACTTTGGAGGACATTGTATGTTTCCATAAGTGACAAGACTTGGGTAGTATGCTTGAATCCTGTCCCAGCAGACACTAGGAAGCATCTAAGGATGTGCCGATCTGTCCCCTCAAATCCTTTGCTCCTGTAGGAAAATTATTAGCTAATTAGTCGTCTTTATCACTGCCCTTGTTTCATTTAAGTGATTATGAAAAATGTCCTAACAAAAGGCAACTTATAAACAAAAGGGTTTGCTTGACTTTCAATCTGAAGTTACAGTCCACTATTTAGAGAAAGTCAAAGCAGAAATTTAAAGTATCACATCCGCCATCAAGAGTAGAGAGGGAAAATGCATGGATCCTTGCTTTCTTGCACTCATTGCACTTTCTTCTGTTGTATATTGTTCTAGAACCCTCTCACAATGGGTTGGGCCTTCCTGCATTAGGTAACAAGCCTCAGGTTAACCCAACATAGAAAACCCCTCCCTGGGACTCTCCTCAGATGAGGTAGATTGTATCAAGTTGACAGTTAAAACTGATGCTCACAGTGACAATACTTTATATCATTGAAAGACAGTAGATGAGTGTTCAGCCAGTGGTAAACAAATCTTTTAGACAGAATTTGTTTGAAGTGATCATAAGCCATTTAGAAAATATGACACTTTTCTTATGGTTAACTCTAAAAAATTATAAACCAGAAGATAATTGATCGTAAATTTCAGTCGATTGGCATAAATCACAAAAAGAGCCTCCAATTTGTAACTAAAGGATATATTTTCAAAATCTCTACTGCTAAAGATATGGAAGTGTGTAGACAGATGATCTACCAGGAGCTATGCCAAGCTGCCTCCAGAGGCCCAGGTGGCTAATTGGCTTCAGTTAGTAAGGGTCATTTTAATTAAATTTTATTTAAATTTCATTACAAGAGATTTCAAAGCTATAATTGACGGCTTATGAGAAATACGACCCTTCACAGACATCCCAATCTCTCTACTTTACTCCCCTAGGCTTCACAGAGAAAGTGACAGCTGAACTATCAAGATCCATCTATCAGCTAATCGAAGTGTACTGCAGCAGCTTCTGCACTGATTTCCAGCCTGTGCACACACCTGGAGGAGCCCACTCCTGCATTCACGCTGGGCTCCATCCCCACCTGAGCTTCACAGTGTGTGCCCTGCACAATGTTCCAGAGACTTGGGCACACAGGTGAGCAGCAGAGAATTCTCACAGTTCCCTCCTGAGCATAATTAGCTTTGTTCTCACTTGAAGAAGCAACTATATCATAAAATGTTGGGATATCAATTGGTGCAGATTTATCTTTCATCTTAAGGCCACTTAATAAAAGTTAGATTCCAGGTGGGTATTCATGTTTCCTTCACCGTATTACAATAATGGCTATACTCAGTGCCTCATTATGAATTAGAAAATATTCATCCTGTATAGGGGCTTCCCTAAGATTTTACTTTTCATGACTTAGTTTAAATGATTAATAATAATTAATAGTATATAAGAGGAGAGAAAGTGTGTGCACAGGCACTAAGAGTATTTAATTTGTAGAAAGCATAGCTAAGCTCTCTGATCCCTATAAGGTTGTGAGTGGTACAGATATTTCATCGGATTAGTGTCTTACCAAAGTAAGAATTACCAATGGATTATTTGATTTTCACAATATTCAGGGAATACCCCTGGGATTTAAGTTAGCTCCATTTATGTAATAGTTTCTAGAATAACATATTTAGAGTAAAATTTAAATTCTTTATCAATTGAACATAGACTACAGTGGTAAACTTTATTAAAATTAATTAAATCGATTGTTAATAAACATACTATACTTACAGCATTTGACAGCTGAAAGAAAAGCTAAAACTAGTTATTCAAATGCATATTTTAATATTAATATATTTTGTTAATTCCATACGTTGTAATGATCATGTTCACCCCTGCTTCTGTAGTAGCCCCATGTTGTAGTGCCAGTCTGTTGTTGCCTGTCTTTGTGGGGCTTCAGTCGGATCCAACTGACTTGCGTGGTTCGTACCTGAGAGGGGGAGTGTGGATTGAGAACAGTCAGGTAAAGACGCTAAAAAAAAAAAAAAAAAAAAAAATGACGGCCAGGCATTGGTGGCACATGTCTTTAATCCCAGCACTAGAGAGGCAGAGGCAGGTGGATCTCTGTGAGTTCAAGGCCACCCTGGTCTCTAGAGCGAGTTCCAGGACAGACTCCAAAGCAATACAGAGAAACCCTGGTTCGAAAAAAGAAAAAAAGAAAGGAAAAAAAAAAGACGGAGACACAGGATAGTCAGGAGGGCAATCCAGTGAATACTGAATGTCCCAAGTTTATTCTTCAACATTCTTAAGTACCCCCGCCAAAAGGGGAAACATAGCAGAAGACTTCTATTATAATGTATAAGGAGCAAACAGATTTTCTTCTCTTAATCCTCCAAGCATTTGGGAGCCACACCTGTTATGAGGGTCAAGAGTAAACACACCTCAGCCCAAGTCTGTTGTTATCTAGATAAGACCAAGGCCAAGAAATATCCTGCAGTAGCCAATCTTAGACCTTTAGGTCTTTTGACTTACTAGGGACAGTTTTGAACTTCCTGACCCGAGGCAAGATGAAGCAGAGCCTTGCTTCTCCATCTCTTCCCACATCCACCCCCTTCTGTAGCCACCCAATTTCATGTTTTCATTATCTTTCTATCAATCCAGTCCAGTTTGGCTGCTCTTAAAGTGATGCGTGTTGGTCATCCACTGGAGGGTGATTGACCTACAGGAGCCACACCCTTTTCTTTAAGAAAACTCCCCTTCTCCCAGCAGCAGCTATCAATGATCACTAGTGACTAGACTAGGGATGGGGCTTCATGCACATCTCCCCTCTATGAGCTGAGCTTTTACAAGTCTTGCGGGTGCTATCATGCATACTTTGAGTTCATGTGTACATCTACGATGTTTTATCTGAAAAAGTTTCCTTGTAATCATCTGTCAACTCTGACTCTTACAGTCTTTCTTCCCTTTCTTGCTGGAAGATCTTTGAGCCTTGGGAAGAAGGTTGTGTGTGTGTGTGTGTGTGTGTGTGTGTGTGTGTGTGTGTGTGTGTGGTGTGCAAAATGAAATGTGAACTTACTTATATAATTAATGCAAAAATAAAATGTATCTCTTTAGAGAAAGCTATATACACTTCTCTTTAGAAAAATATGGAAGACTTACATGATCTGAAGGGAAAACAGAATTCATACATTTCTTTAGAATATACCAAATGTTACCAAATGAATTTCCTGTATTGACATTATGATGAATTTTAAAAGAACGCTGTGACATTGCATGGGCCCTAGTGAATAATTTCTTACAATTTTCTAGTTATAAGTGAATATACATTACTTTAATACATATGGAAATTTTCTGTAACGTGATAAATACAACTAAAGCTATATATACAGCAAATATACATACACATGTATTCATGTGTCTATTGATACATAAGTATATGCATAGCAAATGCTATCTATACATTAATACATTATGTACATTAGTGAAGGTATACTATAGATTTGATCATATTGTGTATTTGAATAAGTATAATCTATTCAACTTTCCTTCATTTGTCTCTACAAATCACTTGTATGCAGTATAAATTGCCTCAGCATATTTTAGCATATATAACATTGTTACATGAAGATAATTATGTATGCATGTACATATAATTATAGACACAAATATTGCTTTTGTACAAAGGAACTAGTGTAATAAATGGGAATCTTAGTAGATTAAACAAAATTGTGCATTTTATTCACTAGAGGAACAAATTTTAAGACTAAAGCTGGAGGCTGTCCCCAGAAAAAGCACGCTTTCTCTCCTAAGGAATTCAGGGTCAGCCAAACTTCTAACAAAATGCCAACAAACTGCATATTTGTAAGTTTTCCTGATGACTTTTATTTACTTGTACCTGTCAAATTTCTTCCAAATTTAGTAATGTAATACAACAGACTAAGATCTCACACTCTGAGAATCAGAAGTGTAGGAGATGACTTAGCTGAATAGTTCTGGGTGGATCTAGATGAGTCCCATTCATATTTGTATCAAAACTGTCATAGTATAGAACAAAATTTATCTTTTAGCCTCATAATTGCTACATATTGAAGATTCCTGTGTCTCAATGATAACATAACTTTATCTGCTAATACGTACATACACATTTTGCATAATACATACCTTCATAATCACAAATTATTAATTGTTCACAAATTGCCCTTTACAATATCTGTACAATAATCCAAAAATGTCTTAATGTGTAATATATGCTCAATAGAGATTTACTGGAAGGATCTACATAAACTTTTTTGAATATAATTGTAAGTCATTTGATTTATGAAATAGGTATGTGGGCCAGCGGGGCTGGAGGTCAGGAATAAGCTGAATTAGAAACTGAACAAGTGTTGATTGCAAAAGAAATGTTAAACAGGAGACTCTGGAAGTGAAGAAGATACTGTAGGAGGCATTAGATCCTGAGGTCCATGGGCCAGCAGCAGTGAAAACCAGTCCAGAATAATTAGAGCCAGGAGGAGAGTGGATGACCAGAAAGTGTCAACAGCCATTGATAGTAGAAAGAGTAATACAAAACCACGTTATAGGTTGGGGCTATATTAAAAAGTTCAAAAAAACATTTTAATAATATTCTGTTAATTCCCTAAGATTTAATACAAATATATTTTGATCATATTTACCTCCATACTCATTCCTGAAACACCCCTGCTGCCTAGCCACAACTTTTGCTCTTTCTCTGTCTCATCTCTTTGTCTCTCTATCTCTCTATCTCTTTCTGTGTCTCTGTCTTTCTCTTTATGTCTTTATCTCTATCTCTGTCTCTGTCTATGTCTCTCTCTCTCTCGTGTGTGTGTGTGTGTGTGTGTGTGTGTGTGTGTGTGTGTGTGTGTGTGCGCGCGCGGTGTCAGTGTGGTGTTTACATAGTTTTTTTTAGAAGGTCTCATTATGTAGACCAGGCTGGCCTTGAACTTGCAAAGGTCTACCTGCCTCTGTCTCCAGAGTGCTTGGATTAAAAGTGTGTGCTTCTACACCACCCACTATTCTCTCTCATGCTAAAACTCATGGAGTATAATTTGTATTACTGAAACACTCTTGGATATGGGCACTGCTCCGGAAGGATGATCCATGAACCAGGGGCCATACTCTTAAAGAAAATTGACTGCTCTTCCTCTTCTAAATGCTATCAAATATTAACAGTCCCTTAGCTAGGTAGAGAACAAAAATTATTTTTAATCTCTTCAGTCATTCATAAAATACAATGCATGCCATGCTATGGTAATTAGAATGCCAGTGCAATTATGTGCATAATAATGTATATTATATAATACATTATATTCATGTGTAAATATTTTGACATTTGTAATTATGAGGACTCCAAACACATTAGCAAGCTGAAATTGCTTCTTAGTGAGAGTATTCTCTCCTTATGAGGCATATCAGAGAGACTCCTGGAGGCTCCTTGTCGTGTAACCTTTACCATCAAAAGGCATATGAGCAGACTGTCTTTCATGAAGGTCACTAAAATTTCATTTATAATCTCAAGTTTTCATATCACCATATCAAGCAATATGAATACTGTGAGCATACTAAGAAATGAATTCTAAGATTAAAAACCATTAATACATAAATACATAAATAAATATTCACTTCATGCTATTAAAACATTTAGTTGGCTAAAAAGATAAAATAAATATCAAAAATTAGCAGAAATACAGGGACAGTTTGATGGGGCCATCGAAATGTGTTACATAAATATATCTCAGAAACTGACTGATCAGTGAATTAAATGGGAAAGAATATAGAATAATATGCCAATACAAGTAACAAAGTACATACACGCCACAGGCATAATACAAATCATTACCACTCTTACATGGAGCCATCATTTTAAGAGACCAAAAAACTAAATTAAAAAGCAAGTCTAAGGAAAGTTGAGATAACTTTCATAAACATAGCTCTCACCCTGTTCTTTACTGTGTGATTAAGTAAAAATCCACTCTGTGTGTGTGTGTGTGTGTGTGTGTGTGTGTGTGTGTGTGTGTGTATAAATTGGAGTATTTTTTAAAGTACATGAATCAAGGAATTTTTTCTCCCAGGGAGAATCTGGGGGTTAGGAAATTTTCATATTCATTCACTGCTGGGTTTGGAAGAAAAGGAAGTGAATTTGG